TAAAAGGAGAAGAACAAAGTTGTTGTTTTACAAAGATGCAGACTAACACACACACAAGAGAGAGAGAAACATCGATGTGAGAAAGACACATCGAGTGGTTGCCACCCACACGACCCCAACCGGGGCCAGAGACAAACTGCAACCAACGTACGTGCCCTTAGCGGGAACCAAACCTGGGACTCTGGTCCGCGGGCCGACGTTCTAACTGCTGAGCCAAACTAGCCAGAGCATCACATCATTTTTTAAAAACCATACACAAAAATAAATATAAAAATTCTAGAAAATGGAACTACTTCTATCAAAAAGAAAAAAATCATATTGAGCTCTAAGAGTTAAACAAACAACAAAAGAACAGTGATCCTGAGCCCTGGCCAGTTTGGCTCAGCGGTTAGAGCGTCGACCTGTGGTCCAGAGAGACCTGGGTTCGATTCCCGCTAAGGGCATGTACCTCGGTTGCAGTTTGTCCCCGGCCCTTGTTGGTTGTGCGGGTGGCGGCCACTCGATGTGTCCCTTTCACGTCAATGTTTCTCTCTCTCTTCCTCTCTCTCCCTCCCACTCTATCTGAACAAAAAAATGTCCTCAGGTGAGGATAAAAAAAAAAAAAGAACAGTGATCCTGATACACATATAGGCATAGACATCAATGAAAGTAAATGGAGATCCCAAAAATAGACCAAAATGTATTTGGGAATTTATAACACAAAAGAAATCAAAGGAGAAAAGTTGGGGACTCCAGTAAAATCAGAGTGACTAACCAATAACAAGTGCCAATTTTATACTGACATTGCCTCTTCGTCTTCTCATGGGCCCATGCTGACCAGCAGAGCCTGCATCCCTGACCTTGCCTGGCAGCTGGAAAGGCACACGTGACTGAAGTTCCCACCAATGGAAGTACAAGTGATGTACGCAACTTCTGATCACTTGACCTGGACTTTCTCCTCTGTCCTTCACACTGAGGGAACCCAGATATGGTAGCAAGCCAGCTATGATCATGCCAATATCTACAGTGACAATTAAAGGGACCTGTGAATATGGGCTGTTCTGCTGACCGGCTTTGCTCCCACTGGGACTGTTAAATGAAGAAAAACTCAACATCAGTGTTCTTTGAACCGAGCATATTTTGGTGTGTTGCTTACAGCAGCTCAGCCTTCCCCTAATTAATAGAGCACCTATAGAAAAATTAAGTTGGATTCATACCTAACATTCCAGATGAATCAAAAATTCAAACCCAAAAACACATGACACTATAAGGAACCACGAGGTAGGGTTTTAACTCTAAGGAATGGAAAAGTCTTTTAACCATGACACAAAATCCTGAAGTCACAAAAAGTTGGATGCTATATTATCTCTATAAATCTTTCTAAACGTCTTTTCTTGACTATCTCCTCTTCCCCTAGAATGTAAGCTCTATGGAGCAGGAACTGGGATCTGTTTTCTTGACTGGTCTACAGCCCGTTGAGTGCCTGGAGAGGCATTCAATAAATATTTGTGAATGAATAAATTGATAAATTTAAGGTTATAAAAATTTAAACAATCTGCACAGGGAAATAAAAGACCTAATATAAATATCCTATCGCAAGGAGAATGAAAGAGGGGCACTAATTTTGTTCATGCATAGGAGCTCCCGTGAACTGATTTAAAAAAAGATCAAGAATCCAATAGGAAAAGAGACAAAGGACACAAACATAAAGGGACCAGAACAGGAAATACAAACCACCTTTAAATTTATGAAAAGATATTCTACGTCAACCAAAATGAGACAATGCAAACTGAAGCTACCATAAACTGTCATTTTTCACCTATCCATTTGGAAAAGACAAAAGTCCTATCAGTCTGACAACCACACAGGAATGGGCATGGTGTGAAGAAGCCGTGTTCTCGCCCACTGCTGCTGAAATCTGAAACTTCGCAAGCTTTGTGACCAGAGCAACTTGGTGATAAATTTCTACCAAAATTAAAATGCACGTACCCTTTGACCCAGCAATTCTACTACTAGAAATGGATCCTACAGATAAGCTCATGAACATGTTTGAAATGATATATGTACAGGGTTATTCCCTACAGTCTTGTTAATGAATAAAACTGAAAATGATCTATATAGCCATCAATATAGTACTGGTTCAATAAATCACAGTGCATCTACACAGTGGAATACTAGGCATCCATTTCAAGAGAATGCAGTATTGCCCTGGCCGGTTTGGCTCAGAGGTTAGAATGTCGGCCCACAGACCAAAGGGTCAAGGGTACAATTCTTGGGATGCAGGCTGGATCCCCGACCCCACATGGGGTCATTGGGTCATGCAGAAGGCAACCAACCAATGTGTCTCTCTCATATCCATGTTTCTCTTTCTCTCTCTCTCTCTCCCCCTCTCCATCCCTCTCCCTTTCATTCTCTCTCTAAAAAAAAAAAAAAAAATCAATCCTTGGGTAAGGATTAACAAACTAAATAAATAAATAAATAAATAAATAGAAATAATGCAGTATTAATTAGGAAGAACTTTCAAGAAATAGTATTTCAATGAAAGAATGTACAAAACAGTAAATATCACTAATTGTGTAAAAAAAGAAACAAAGAAAGAAAAAGAAATTACAATAATCTATAGGTCACATGCTAGTATATTACATATGACCTGAAACCTCTAGAAGAACACACAAGAAATTGGTAACAATGATTGCCTCTAGGAAGAATGACTGGGCACTTGGGAGACTTATTTTTCACTCTTTTGTTTCTTTCTAAACTTATAAACATTGATTATATTACCTTCCTACAAATAAGTAGTTTATAAAATAACAACACAAATATTCATTCCCAACCCCAGATATTTTATTTGACTTTATTTATTTTTTTGGATTCTCACCTGAGGATATTTTTATCTTCAGATAGAGCTGGAGGGAGAGAGGGAGGAAGAGATAGAGAGAGAGAAACATCAATGTGAGAGAGACACATTGATTGGTTGCCACCCGCACAACCCCAACCGGGGCCGGGGACAAACCGCAACTGAGGTACGTGCCCTTGGCTAGAATTGAACCTGGGGCTCTCTGGTCCACAGGCAACGCTCTTACCGCTGAGCCATACCAGCCAGGGCCCAACCCCAGATATTTTAAAACTTCTCTGGTGATTCCAACTGTCAACTACACTATGGAACTACTGAGCTGAATAATCTTAACCCCGATACATAATTAAGAATCACAGGGTTAGCAAGTAACTAACATCACCATCTCCTCCCCCTCCTTCAAATAGGCATATATGCAAAACAAAGTCAATCTCTTAATTCCATCCCCGTTGTTCATTACTTCCTCTTAAAACTAATTCAACCTCATGCCACCTTAACTGGGCATGAAAATATTTCAAATTGCTCCAAGGATGGTAGCCAAAACTAACAACTATGCTAATATATTAATGCAGCCTAGTGCCCAAAAACTTCCTTCCAGGCATCCCGAGATGAAAATTTTTGACATAAATGATACCTCGGAAACAATCCAAAGCTGTGTCTCATCTGCCTTAGAAAATAAAAACACACCTCTCATGACTGAAAGTCCAATGTCAACTGTCATGACTTTTGTTTTTTCCTTAATGTGAGTCTCCTCCTATCTCCCCCTTTAAATTATAGGCTAACCCCTCACTTGAGGACTGGTTATTATTATGTTATGGCCATATAAAGAACACTAAGCAGTCATTAGTTAGACTGAGATTCTGCTTAAAAGAAAAAATTCTGCTTAAAAGGGAAAATACCCACAACATAGGAAGTAGAGGGAAAAAGCAAGTCATAAAACAAAATGTATAGTCATTTTCCATCAATTTTTAAACATAACCAATATGTATATTTCATTTGTGTAGGAAAAGATTTGTATGTGAAAAAGTGTGTGTTCAAAATTATTAGCTACAAGTGAAAGAGAGAAGAGAGAAAATTATATATATATATTATATCTGTACATTACACTCTTTTATACTATTTGGAATTAAAAATCAAAGAAAAACTTTTATATAAAGAACAAAGTTTTTAAAAATAATAAATTAGACTTCCCTTAAAAAAGAAAGCCCCTGACAGCAACTAGAGACCTTCCCCAAAAGTGGTGAACCTAAGGAGGCTGCAGGGACCAACCCTGCAGACTTTAATCCTGAGCACCTTGCTTCTGTCTACACAAGTTTCCAATCACATCCGAGCAATCCCAGCCTTTAGCTCAGAGATACATACACGCACCAACATCTAGCACTTAAAGCCTCCCCTCAGAAACATTTTACAGACTCTAGTCTAAAGCAGGCACGTGTATTAACGCCACAGCTTAACACAACCTTAAAACCATTCCATCCTATTCTCAAGACTTCTCTACATAGATTTCAAAGTACTCCACAGGAAGCATAATATGAAAATGTGGCTCAGGAAAAGGTAAAAGTACGGAGACAGTAAAAAGATCAATGGTTGCCAGGGTTTGGGGTGGGGAGTGAGAGACAGGTGGAGCACAGAGGATCCCTAAGGCAGTGCAATACTCTGTATGATGCTATAATGGTGAATGCATGCATTACAGTCTTGTCCAAACCCACAGAATGTACAACACCAAGAGCAAACCCTAATATGAACTGTGAGCTTTGGGTGATGACGTGTCAATGCAGCTTCATCTGTTGCAATATATGCACCACTCTGGTGAAGATGCTAATAGTGGGAGAGGTTGTGAATGTACGGGAACGGGGTATATGAGAACTCTCTGTAATTTTTGTTCAATTTTGCTGTGAACCTAAAACTACTCTAAAACATTAAGTCTATTTCAAGAGGGGAGGGGAGGAGTAGTGGCCATGTAAGGTGAAAAGAATGGCAGGAGCACTTTATATTTAAGGAAATGTGGGTAGTGTTTGAACAACTTGGCCAAACTTTAAGAACTGTGCAGCTCCGTCGGAGAAAAAAGCCTACCTTCAAGGCAATGCAAGAACTAAGGCTGAGCCCTAACTTTCTTGTATTGGATTTATTTAAACCAACAAAACGATCACTGTGGCTAAGAAATTACCGTGTAGATTTGATCTCTGCCAAAGAGCATTAGAAGAGCTGATGGGTTGAAACGGCTCCACTGCTGGTTCCAGCGATGCTGCTCTGAGAGCTCCTGGGGAAAAGCTGACTCAGCTACCTCAGAGCTGGTGCCGGGTCATAGCTTCCCGCAGTCCTGCACGCAGTGTGCTCGTGTTCAGAGCTGCACGCATTAGTTCACCAGGGACATGGGGAGGGAGAGGTGCTCCTGGAATCTCCTGGAATAATGAGCAGTCCTCCAGCAGCTCCTGCTCTGGCAAGGCGAGACTCACAAGTGGCTCGGGGCTGCAGAGGGAAAGAAGAAAGAAAAACCATCTCAGCAAAAGAAAATCCTGCAGCTGGGAACGTACTGGCTAAAGAAAGCGCATACTTGACAGGCCTTTCCATTGGGACCACAAAACTAAAGCAGATTTATCATCCAAGCGAGTATGGGAAGGGTTGAAAAACACTGACGTGCAGTATGTTGAGGTCACAGACCCACACTGGTCTTGAAGTGTTTTTCCAAATACACAAAACCAAGTAAGACCTGCAGTTGGTAAATTTCAAGATCAAGTTCCATTCACCCCATACATCATTGACTCTAGCCGTTACAAAAAAAACAAAACCAAGGGCTTTGCATATATTCATTGTTCTATGAGGTCGGTCTAAGAATATAACGTTCAAGCAGTGCACAGTATGGAGTGAAAGTCTTTCCAGACACCTGGCCACTCTAGGGCGCCCCATGTACCAGAGGAACTAGTTTCTTGCATATCCACCCACCAACAATCTGGTTTGGGTCCGTTTTCCAGCACCGTTCTCAGCCGCCGATAGATCTAGTTCAAAGGCTCATGAAACAATGATGGAAAAGGAGCACCCAGCGGAAGGGACGGGGACTCTAGATAACTAAGGAAAAACAAAAAGCCTCCCAAGCTCCCTTTTCCTTTAGGAAGACTTTAAAAACATCAACATTTGCCAAAGGAAGAGGAAATTTTTAGTAGAACCAAACTTTCCCATTCAAATACTTAAGTGACACAAAACGTTGAAAAAACTTACTCCTTTCGGAAAACAGCTCTCTTGTTGTTGTTGTTTTTTTTTAACCTCAAGGAACATTTTGCCAAGAAAACTTCCACATAAATACATCTAAGCAGAAAACAAGCCCCAAAATACAGCATTCCTCAATAATTATTTGGAAGGAAAATCACATCAACCTTGAAATTCAAGGAAATGCTTCTGCAAATAATGTCAAACCTGTCCTCACTTTGGTTTAAATTGAGGCTCACAATCAATTTGATTTTGAAATTGTAAGGCACACTAAAAATAAGACACACAAAAATACCCCTTCACCCTCCACCCCCCTGTAGAAAGGTCAACCAGAAATGTGACATTTTCAGCAATCATTTAGAGAAGTTAAAGAGTAAAAATGCATTTCCAGAATGGACATCCTTAAAAACAAATTCATCAGCTCAGTAGCATTCACAAACCTTGACTTTCAGAACAAACTGTTGAAATCCTGGTATTTTCCAAGACGCTGGGGCCAGGGAAATTTGGCAGATTCACACTGAAGCTGCTTTCCCCTCTGCCAAAGACTAACTGCATTTTAGGAGGGGGCCAGTGCTAAGCTGCCCTGCCTAGGGCCAACCACCTCTAATATATAAGTACATACTGTTTGGGGGCAGATTTAGGTAAGCAAGAAAATCAGAAAACACTGCTGCATATTTTTCTGATTCTGTGTTTCCAAACCACAGGTGGACTTTTTAACAAATTACCCAGATGCTTCTGCTTCCCTAGCCCTACCACCTTCTCATCCTTCAAACTGGTGCCCAGGCTCTCCCGCCTCTGTTCAGCCTTCCCTAATACTTCTATTTTCCAGGTCTTTCCATTCTAATTACTCTGGTCCTTATATCCTATATGACTCAACTTGGCACTTAATCCTCTGCTTTGAACTGGGTTTTGCCTCGAAACTAATTTAAACTAGAATACGATAACATTTTCTTATTCTTCTGCTACATCCTCTTTCCAAAGAACCTAGCACCCAGCATACAGCTGATGCTCAGGAGTTAGTGAATAAAAATGATGTCTCCAAATTAAACATAATACGTGTTTTAAAATTCATCAGCTCTCAACCCATGACTTGTAGTCAACTGCAAGGAAGAACACTGGCTGGTAAAACGCGAGCTCAAGTTGGGAGGAAATTCTGGGCACTTAACTCTGGTCAGAACCGATCTCCCCACAAATACCTCTGATGCCAACGAGCAAGCTTGGCAGATGCTGAAAGGTAGTGTAAAGCAGTTGTGTTCAACCCCACAAAGTGTGATTTTAAAACTAATTTTTAAAAAGACATATGCATCAATTAAAATCAGTGCTATAAAACAAGTATCTATAATAGCACACTCCAGCAACTTGTCACAAAACTTTCATTGAGCTGAGTTTTTTCCAAAACCTTAGCCAACTCGTTTGCTTGGCTCTGGAGGGTTAATCATTGGCATCTAATCATGCCTCATGCCCGTGAAAATCTGACCCATAAAAGTCAGAGGCACATTCCTGTGAAGTGCTGGAGGGTGAGTGCGAGAAGGGGGAAGGAGAAATCCAACTCCAATTGCAGGCTTAACACAGTCCCACCTTTTTGTTTAATCCAATTGAAAAGAACATGCATAATGTCTTAAGTCATTGTAGAATGATGGGACCTGACTAACAGGCAGGCAGAAAAGGCACTTAAAATCAAACAAGTTCTTGGCAGTCAACATGGCAGCTAAGCAACAGGGAAAAAATTCAGGGCAAGTGTTTTCAACTTTTTAGTTATAACGGTGTCCTTGGCTTCTAGAAACGGTGGCTTCCAAATACGGCATATATCCTCAGTCTTTCAAGACAGCATCCCTTGTGTGGTGACGGATGTTAACCAGACTTAACTGTGATGATCATTTTACAATATATACAAATATCAAATCATTATGTTGTATACCTGACACGAACATAATGTTACATGTCAGTTGTACCTCGATTAAAAAAAAAAGACACCCTACTATTAACTGAATGACTATTAACTAACCTACTACAAGTGGCAGCACGTGGACCGAGGACACAGCCACACCCAGTTTTCCAACCCCCTAAGTGTGAGCTTACATAAATCATTCCACCGCCTTCAGTTTCCTTTCCCCTGAAACACAATAAATGCATCCTACCTGTGAGTGTTACTAATCGGGCCAGCTATCATTTAGTGAGCCCTTGGTTCTAGAACTGTGCTTAATCTCACACTTGTTTTATCAGATTTAATCCTAGCAACACCAAAATTGAGAGGCAGGTATTATTATTCCCATTCGAAACATAAGAAAACCATATTAGCAAGGCTGGGTAAAACTGTCCAAGATCACACTTTTTAAATAAGTGGCAAAACCCAGAACCAATTCAAGCTTTGCTGACTCTCAAATCCGTGTCCTTAATTACCAGTAAGTTCATTTCCATCTTGACTGTTTGCAGGAATTTAACTAAATGCTCCTAGTAGATCTTAGCTCCCGTTCCTGTTTTCCACCCCTCAGAGAATAGCAGAAGTGCTAAAACAGCGTGGCAGGAAAGCATAAAGCACGCCAACCCCAAACAATAACACAAATCACCTGCATGATACTACAAATGTCCTCTTGTTCTGGCTCTAAAATAACTGCCACAATAAAACACTGAGCATCCCTGAAGAATAGTCTACTCCTGGCACTGGAATACGGGGGCAAGACAGGTTTGATCTATTCGTAATTCTGGAGAAAGGCAACGGGGGTATCATCTGGTTTCCAAGATTCCCAATCTCCCAGGGGGAAAGAAAGTAGGTCATATGCCCCAGACAACTAATAAACTCAGGGGACACCACGCAACGCAAAGAACAAGGGGCGCCACACGAAGGTGGGAAAAGATAGCTGCTGGCTGAATGGGGAAGAGCAGAGGAGCAGGAAGGCTGTCTCCTCTCTGGGAGCCTCCAAATCGTAAATATAAACATAATAGTCATTAACCTTTGGCACTTGGGAATGAGAATTCCCAGGAAATTCTCTGGAATTCTTCAAATTATAGCTCACTCTTAAAATACTTCCAAACATTCTTCACTCATCATTATGGATATCTAAAAATAATTGTTCAATAAGAAAAAAACGTAATAGAATTTACGAAGAATGGTAGCCCATCACAAATATTCAAATGCTAGAAGATGCCAGTGAACATCTTTGGGCGGTAGTCCAATGGCGGGCCAAATCCAGCCCACAGTCTGTTGGTAAACAAAACTTCTATGGAATATGTTCATCGTGCCTCAGGTCTATAGCTGCTTTCACGCTGAAACAGCGGAGCAGGTAGTTTCGACTAAGTCCATAAGGCTTGCAAAGCCTAAAACATTCATTCTCTGGCCCTTGAGAGAAAAAGCCGGTTGACCCCTGCAACAACCTACATTTGGACCTACAAGCAAGGTGAACAGCACTACACAGAACCACATGTTGAAATTACCATTTTAGATACTTATTTTGTTTCGGAAACGTATTTCTTGGAATACTACTCACAGGACTGTGTGCTCTGTGCTATACATATGAACTTATATTTATGTTATTTGCAGGGATGGCACACCAGTAATAGCAGACAGGACCACGAACACACATTAATAACCTAGCAACAGCCACCGGGAATCCTGACGGGTTGTCCGCTCTGCGCTCCTACCCTGTCCCGGCTCTGGGCAATGTCAGTCTCGTCCTTCAGCTCCGCAGGGGTTAGCTTCCAACTTGACATCAGTGTGTTCCTGGGAGTTCCAACACTTTTCCCATTTACCTGATTTCTTAACTAATTTTTTTCAGAATTGAGACCCTTTCCAAGAAATCCTGGAAAGGCATTCTGCCATAGAAACACTATTTTCTCAAGCGTATATTTAAACACTGAGTAGGGATCAAACTCACTACATTTTAGAAGAATGGAGGGAAAATAGTTGTGGATAGAAGAGAAGCATGAGGAAGAACTCCAGGGTGTTTTAAGGACCAGATTCCGGTCCCTCTCGAAGCCTAGAGAGACTAGAGAGACGACAGCCAAAGTGGAGACAGGATGACAATGAGATTTCCTAATGCTTTGGCCCAGGGACAGTTGTAAAGCCCAAGTATCAGAGCACATTTCTCCTCCAGTGTTTAAATTGTAATCTGGCTGAAAAAAGAGGCATCCACTATGGATCATGATACGAGTATACTTAAGCACCACACTATCTTTCTGAAGATAACCTGCTTATAATATATAATCGCAAACATCCTCATCTGCAGTGGTTAGGTGGCCCATCAAAATCCATTTATCTGTCCAGCCAA